GCATCTCACCAAAATGAATGGCCTATGTTAATTGGGCTAAAAAAATACTTTTTAGGTTGTGTTTTCAATTTTTTATTTTTTTACGATTGTTTATTAAAATAAAAAGAGTGTGTATTTCAAAATTTGGATCCAACAAATGGCCATAAAATGATTTTTTAACTTTACAACGATTGCATGATATCATTGCTCCAACTGGATAGCCAATAGTTGCATTAAATAATAGAGGTTGCATTAAATAATAGAGGCTTTTCAGGTTCCAAAAAATTGAACTGAACCATTAAATAGCTTAGCTTGAATACGTGCACGGGCCAAAGATATATTTGTATCGAGCAAAGTGCAAAGTGCGCCTCAAGTGCTTTTATTTCCTCTCGCTCATCGATCATATGTCTCAAATACCTTACATAGGCATTCTCTCTCATTGGTTCTAAGAACATTGTGAAAGATAGTATTGTTATATTTTTAGCATAAATTTTCTCCTTCATTCTCTAATGTGGGATTAAAAACACTTCTCTTTCCATGAATTCAAAGTTATATTTTCCAAAGACTTCAAGTTTTCAAAAATATATTATAAATAACACCTAATATTTTCATCTATCAACTCCTCTACTTACTTCACAACAATATAAAAACATTAGTCATCCACCACCATTTGCATGAAATGAAGATAGGGCATAAAAACTTCATTGTAGCTTATACCTTTAAATCAAGGATCTTGTCTAATATACCGATAGCACAACATATAAACAACGTATTTCTCTGGTGTCATTTTATTGTTAGTATGTTACATGCCTCGTGCTTGTATACCAATTTTATAAGTGCATTATAGGTGTGAGTCTCTCAAGGGTATCCCTATATATATAACACCCCAACTTATTGGGGTTACAGACATCATTAAGAGTATGGCTCAATCTCATGACAAACATATCATTTATGAATTACCCTAAAATGGGTGCTTGCAACATTTTATCAGGTTCAATGACAAACTGACCATACAAACTGATATTACAATGTTGAATCTAAATCTTTTGAGTAGTAAAAGACTAGATTGGATTTTAACTTTTAGTGGTTACTTATTAGACTTTAAGTATTACAAACTGACCATACAAACTGATATTGCAATGTATCTCTTGCAAGGCTTTTTGTCAGATGAACACCAAATTTTCATGGACTTCACATATTATAAAATCACTATCCTCATACTTCATCAACATTTGTATGGGGGTTAAGTCTCTGGTGTATATATATATATATATATATAAAATTATCTTTGCTTGCTCAAACAATTGCAACATGTTTATTATAATTCGTTGTGATCACTTTTTGTTACTTTGAGCTAAATTGGAATGTCATAAAACAAGTTTCCTTTTCCATCTCTTTCTTCACAAGCATAATCCAATGTTATAACTTTGACTCCATAGTCGAGAGACATAGGCCATTTGTTTATTTGACACCTATTATACCGCTCCACCTGCTATGGTGAAAATCATTCTGGATGCTTATAGTAAATCTTGGAGTTCCATGTTCCAATTCACGTCACTATACTTTTCTAACAAGGCGTGATATCAATGTATCTCAAAATTGATAGTTTATTTAAGATATCTCAAAACGCAAGATTGCTTCACAATATTTCTACTTAAGCAGCTTGCATATTTACTAAGTTCCCCAATTGCATTCGCAATATCTGATTTAGTACAACTCATTGCATGAGGATCCATAGCTGTTGAGATTAGTATCTGAAGCTACTACCATTTATCCATGCTTACTTAATTTGAGAAAACATCTCACCTTAATCTTTATTGTCTTAATTTGAGGATCTATAGATGCGAGGTTCACTTGCAAACATTATATCAAAACTTAGTCAATGTATCATCTATATACTGAGATTATTTCAATATCAATACATCTTTTTTATACCAAGTATCACATATGCCGCACCTGAGTCCTTTTCATAAAAGCTTGATACAAGGAATCTTCCAGTTTCCACCACTGTTTCTAAGTGAGAGTCAAATATCATTATATCATCAACATACAAACAAATCATGATACACAATCAGTTTATTTCTTTTGAAAGAAATCTCCATGTGATTTTTTTACTTAGGAATACATGTTTTTTTATTTTTTATTTTTTTCACCCCTTTCTTTTGGCAAAAGATCACTTACATGTGGTCTTTATTATAATAAGATATATTTCAAAATAAAATCAGCATAACAATAAAACCAAGATCTTAACAACTTGATGTCATTGAAACAACAATGCACTATGCTTGAGAATAAAATATAAGATCATAAGAAACAAAAAAAAGAGTGTCGGAGATTACCTAAACCGGGTTTATTACACTCCACACCGAGTCACCATGATCCGATGTCGCATGATTAATGGTCTAGCTTCAATTTCGAACCGAAAAAGTAAATTTCGGCCGAGCCACACCAATGGAACATGAACCTCTTTGATCACAAACTCAAACCCTAGTTGAATTCTCTTAGAAACCTAGTTTGAGAGTGATGTATTCTCTTTTTGGTAAACCCTAAAACCCTTAGCCATAAATCATATTTGAGATATAGGAGAGAAGAACTCCATAACCTAAACCCTTAGGTTTTTCACAATGTGAGAGAGAGTGATCAAACATGAAAGAGATAAACTTTCTTAAGAGAGAGATAGAAAGATAAGGCGTAGAGATTTTTTTGGGAGAGACAATCTTCTTTAAATAAGATTAGGGTTTTTTAAGGTGTTTTTTGGCCATCCATTCCATAAATGGGCTATCAATATTATGGAAGGTACATGAACCATTATTCCCCTTTCCTAAACTATTTTCTCATCAATAGAAATTAAATAAATTAAATCTAGTCAAAATATTGTGCATACCATAGAATACATATGGTGAGCTACAACAATGGTTAAAGAGCCTAACATAGCTAGGTTAAGAGATAATTGAGCATGCCATGACGTTGTTATAATACAAGTCTACTCAATCTTTCCACAAAATCTTTCAAAGATATATCAAGCCAATATCTTCAAACCATATAGCCGCATACCATATCACCAAAAAATACGAAACAGAATAAGGTTGGGGTGTGCCACCCAAGGAAGGCACTCATGGGATCCACTTTCTAAAAATATGGCGGGTCCATGTGCACAATGGACTCTCATGGTATTTTTATATATTTAAATTTAATAAAAATATTTTAGAATATTATTTGAATATTTAATTAATTGTAAAATCAATATCTTTAATTTTATAAATCAAAAAATTATAAATAAAATATCCAGGGGTTCATAAAAATTCAACCAATAATATTAAAATAATTTTCATCATAAAACAAACACAATTAAATTAATTTTATAGGAATATGATCCATATGGTTTAGGAATCAACAATCATGGGGGCACTCTGCCTTCAATTGTGGACTACAGACCACATTCGCTTTATCAGACCGACCCAGTGTTTTCTATCACCCACAGTCAAAGCAGGGGCTCATTAGCGGATTTCCAAAGTCCGGCCGATGAGCCAAGGAATCGTAATCCCAGTCTGTGAATTTCAGGTCCTCCCCTAGAGACGAGCCAAGGAATCGTAATCCCAGTCTGTGAATTTCAGGTCCTCCCCTAGAGACGAGTCACGGTCACCTAGTCTTGATGCGACCATTGCTCCTATGGTGAATGAGAGTATCTCTCGCACATGCATATGCTTCGCCCTAAAAGGTGGATTTCTGGCTTTCCTGAACGATCTAACGATATGCATGCCATGTGATGGTACATGGATGCGGCGTTGGCCCCCGTCTCTGTAAGCCACCATCACACACAAGGGTCACACAGTCCCTCGGCTCACTCATCCAGGCATGTTCACCGACCTTATCAAGGGCTAACCCATTAGAACTCTTTTCGGTTTGTTCTTTATGCCCAGGTAATATGTGATTTTTCCAACTAATTAGCCTAGATCGTCAAGCATAGTCCAGCATCTGTAAACATCGTTTGCTTAGTATCGCTCACGAGGGACCACACTCCTACTGATTTCATGTTCTACTCTATCATTTCATTTTACAATCACTAATAAGGCCTTTAAGGGCCACATGAACCCAACATCATTATTATCGATACACTTCGACCTTATTTCTCTTAAATGTATTAAATCATCTTATATTATTAGATTTCTTATGCCACAGTTTTTGGAGCTTGTTTTAGTCATTTTAAAAAGAGTATTTTTAAGAAATAAAAGTTAAATTTTAAATTTTTTAATATATTAAATATAATATTTTTTTTAGGGACCTTGTAGTTGATTGATTATATAATCACTTGATTTTTTCATGTGAAGTATTAATGGTTTGGAAACTTTTTTTACAAATATCTTCACGCTACCTAGCTGGTTTTACCCTAGAATTTCTTTTTTGTTCTTACCATTTCACCCATCCTCTATCCAAACCTAAGTCCCAAACCTCAAAACAATTTCTTGAATGACATGTGGTGACGATATATATATAATATATATGGAAAAGCTAACAATAGCTGACAGCTATAATGAATAGTACTTTAGGTGGAATGGGGTAATCCGATCTTCATCATACGGTTCAAAATGCATATCATTGTTTTAATTTTAATTATTTTTCAATAAGTTGAATCATAATGAAATTTTAGACATGTGTACTAAAAAAATAGGGCGCACAAATAAAATATGTATAAAAAATATTTCTAAAATATAAAATGACCGAAATACCCTTGAAAAATGATAGGGGTATTTGGTCATTTTAAATTATTGAATATTTATATATATATATTTTTATATAGTGCGCAATAGTGTTAAGTGTATACACCCCAAATTTTCATATTAATCAAATTTATATAAAAAAATTAAAATTCAAATAATGATGTGCATTTTGAACTGCATGATGAAGAATTTAGGACTTCCATTTCACTTATAGTTTATTCATTATAGCTGGTTAGTTGTTATAAGGTTTATATATATATATATATATATATATATATATATATATA